ACTTTGTTTATTAAGGTAACTGTATGGAGTTAGAAAGGTCACATTAGTTAGAGACTGTTGCATCTTACAACGTCCGATCCTCGACTATCGAACTAGTCCTTCCCAGAAAAATATTAGCACGTCAACTAAGAGACGAAAATGAGCCATATGGGTCAGACAGAGAATGGCCCCGAAACGTGCCAAAGAACCAGATTCGAGACTTCAAGGTACAACGGGTCGATTTAGGATAGATTAGGATCGAAACAGAGCCTGGTTTCAACGGCTGGATCACTCAGATTCACATGTTAATTTTAGATCCTACCTTTCGCAAAATTGACACCTTTCATGTATCCTTTAGGGCAAGGTAATGGGCGCTCTAAGAACAATAATTCGATTTTATAGTCTCTCTACAGTGAGAGGTAGATGGGAAAACTAAAAAATGTCATTTGGCTCGTCGACCCCGCGGTGGTGGGTTCGATTCCCACACTGAACTTTCTGGCGCATTCCCCTTCCACCAAAAAGTCACCTTATTTAGTGAACAGAAAAGCTTTCCTCTGGAACGTGTGACAACAACCACCACTCTGTGTTTGTTTGTTTGTTTGTTTGTGTGTGTGTGTGTGTGTGTGTGTGTGTGAAAAACCCTATTTTCAAAATTATTCGAGTGAATAGAACCGACCCTTCCAAAGGTTAAAACTATTAACAATATTTTTTAATCAATAAACGATTGTTTTCAAAGAAATAAACTAGATCAGATGATTTGTAATCTAAAGGCCATCAGTGCTATTCCGGGGAAATTGTGCTAATTAAAATGGTATTGCAGGGGGCAAAGTGACACAACTCTATCCAATTAGAAATCAACAACAACAAAATTTGTAATTTAACAACTCATTGTATCAATTGTTGTAATCGTCTGGACTTTTGAAGGCCGAAGGTAAAATTAGAATTGAAATTTGCAAGCCAACTCATGAAATGTGTGACCATGAAAACGGAAGAACAGTCGAAATGCAAAAGCTCATTTTTGGTATTAAGCATGTGATATCTGAAAATATTCAATAAATATTCGGTTTTATTGCTTAGTCGAATAATTTAATTTGGGTTCCGTTGATCTGCCTTTTCATTATAAAATATAGAAAAGGTATTGGAATTTGAAGGCATGGTGGACTGGTGGTGTTCTTCAGTCTGTCCTATACTCTGGTGATCACTGCGTATAGAATCTAGAATGTGAACAAATCCAAAATTTTGATGTTTACAAGTACAAGGTATTGTGATCACTACCTGTGCCTTACTAAACTTTCCGCGTCACTACATCGACAATGCTACGCCATCTAAATAGAAGCCGCTATTTAAGCAGGATATCCACTGGCTTGAGTCACACTCGTCGGCGAGTTCTTACATTGAACATTCACTAAAGGAGAAAGAAGTCTTCAGGGCCCATAAGCCGACTAATAGCTGCTCGAAGCCCTACACTCCATACTCAATAACACCACCACAACCCCAGTACTGCTGGCAGGACAAAACCGACTTAAAGTATACTTGTTGACTTCTCATAGTCGCAAATGGTCACCGTCAGTCATCAGGGGTCACGAGCAACTGGGTCCTCTCAACAGCTCGCAATCCGTACCCGTGGCTCGCTACAGCCTTCAGCTGCCTAAGAGTTCACGGCCACAACTACACGACCCCATTCACTAAAATATCTATCTGCAAGCAGCTGTCCTACACTGCCCACTCAAGAGATGGGATGGCAAATGGGAAGAAGAATGTAGAGGTACTGTCAATGAGATGCATGGTCACACAACTGTTTATATGAGGATGATGATGATGATGAGAGCAAAAATTATTGTATGAGAGTCTTTCTTGATGATACACAAGAATTCGACCGTCTACTGAACAAATTAACTCGTGTCCTTCTAAATACCCTGTACTGGCGGTTCTTTAGGGTCCGACAGGTTTTAAGTCCAATTCTGCCGATGATACATCATCATCTGACCATAATCGTACTGTTGCTTCGGAAGATGTGGTGTAGAAGAAAATGAATCTCTATGAAAGTGAGGGCATGCCACGTTTACAATTCGAAGCAAATCTCCTTTCGAAATAAATTTCTTTCTTAGCCCAAATGTGATTTACTGTCTTAGCATGTTAAAAACTGTCTGTATTGAGGTGCCGTTTTGGGTTATGTCCTTTTTCCTTTTTTTTTATTAGTTAATACATCGTAACTATTTATTGTATTGACTACTGTTTTAACATACAGACGTTAAAATGGAACTAACTAAAATATAATTTCGATGGATGATGTGGCCAAATTTGCGACGTTTAAGTGGTTGAGGCAGAGGATTGTAGATTTTTTTATGACGAAGACTAAGTTAAAGTTTTTAGTTGAGATAAAAAAGTCAATGGCACGAGCGGGATTCGAACCCACGATCTTCGGCTTGATACGTCGCTGGTCGAGAGATTGCGGAGGCGCGACGACCACAGACACAAGTAGCTTTCTCATTTACAGAAATCTGGTAATTTTAAGTCTCGATATTCTGCTAGTCGTTCATACAAAAAAATAAAAATTCACCCAAGATAGATTATATGAAAAGGGACGTATCAATAATGTGGGCCATTGTATCATCATACAATCTTTATAGACATATCAAACCCATTAGGTGCACATTTTATAGTAATAAAAAATATGTTTTTATTCAATCTACTAAAAATTAAATTACTTGTTGATGTTTATACTGTTTCAATTAAAAAAATTGTTGACAACAAGCGCCTACGCGCTCAAAGTTCGTGTTGATTATTTTCTGTTTATCTGCATTTCTTTCAATGGGCTCAATGTTTATATTTTATGTTTTGTTGCTTATTTATGTTTCGTAATGTTTTATTATTTTTCTCCGGGATCTGTTCTAAAAATTAATTCCGTTTGTAATTTCCAACTTCTTGCCACTCCTCCTTTGGCTCGTTTTAGGTAATTGCTTCGTACATGTATCGATTCGAGCTCGTGATGATGTTATGTTAGGTTAATGGAGTATGCCCTATCCGCGGTTCCGTCGTCTTTGTACGACTTAATGAGTTCTCTCCGAATCTGAATTTGAGTTTTGCACCATTTTATCCTTCTACCCTCCGTCCCCACATCTTTGACTATATCAATGACACCAACCATTTTAGTCAATAATTAAAATTTTATGTTTCATATAGTTGTAATTACAATTATTGTTTTAATGTAATTGTGACTTTTACTTTGGTTCAATCAATGAACAAATAGACAATCAACAGCAAACTTAAGCAGTGCTCTCCTCAAGCTTTTGAAGAATATAAAAATGTAAAATTATTAATAATTAATAATAAACTGTTTGCCTAAAATAAAATAAAAAATCCATACATTTTCTGACTTCTTTCCTCAAATATCTCGTGCATAGTTTATTCTAGAGCTTTGGTGACTATTATCAATCTCCATCAATCATCAATCTGCAACTTTTTTCTAAACACTTGGACAATCATCACCCTTTATACATACAAACAATTGCACCTACATTAATAGTCTGATTGAGGGTCGATGGGGTACTTAATATTCCTTCATCTATGCTCTTATGTACTACATACATTCACGCTTCTTCTTCTACAAACATTCAAATACATTCTCACAATACCCCTGTTTCCTCTAAAAATCGGAACATGGGACATATAAATTCACTGCCGTCTCGAGTAAAATTCTCATATCGAGTGGCATTCCTACTACAAGTTCACTATATGGAGCCGAGGATTGAGGAACCTTTTTCTACATCCCGGACATGTTTACATGGAAAAAGCAAGTTTCCTTGGGTCAGCTGTACAAGGAGGATTCTGTGTTGGGTTAAAACGATCGCCTTTCTGCTGTTTAGACCCTCGTGTTGTTGATGCGGAAGAGCTTCTCCGATGTCCCAGTCCACTGACGCTGCCAACCTTTCTTTCCGTCAGCGGATCGGATCGTGATAGGTAGGTATAGAAGGTGGACCCCATCGTTCGCATGTCCAGCCCGACTCCAACCAACCATTTTATCCGACAATGGCGCATTTTTAAAACTGCAGAAGTAGTCAGTGCACAAGAGGTAGGATGAATCCTCCCCGGACTGTGTATACTCTGGGCAAGCCACAACTTCTACACTGCTGTCAGGGATGTGAATCCATTTTGATCGTAGATTTTTCTTAACAGCGATCAATACTCTGCACGCTTGTAATAGTCGATAGCAAAGGAAAATATAACCAAAGGGGAAGAAAACTCCTAAAACAAATCGGGTACAGAGTATCGCGAGATCTAGAAGGAAGCACTTCGCGTGGCTCCTAAAAAGCGGATTAACAAGGGAAGAACCATTGTAAAAGTACCTTGAGCAGATACTCAAGAGTACTAGTGAGAAAGAACCAAAGCAGCGTCATCGACCCGGGACAGATGGAAAATAATGTAAAAATAGAAAAACCTCCAGGAAAAGGACCTGTCCTTTCACTGCTACCTTGAAAGAACGCCAATTAGGAATGTTGCCTAACGTATATCCAATGAAACTTTTCACTATTGAGTTCTGCTGGAACACATCTTAAAGGCGGCAAATCTCAACATAAAAAAAGGGTGGCGGATGAATATGAAACTACTGAGGTTCGGGTAAAAATCATCCAAGGCAAGACACTCTGGGAAAGAAACTAAAGTGGTGGAGGACAAGGACCTACTATAGGTTCAGATTGCGATTGTGTACTTTGTGGAGTACATTGGAAGTTAAATATGCAAAGAGGAGGCGGCTATGATGCTCCTATGTACATCGACTATGGGTCAGCTAAACAAGATGACCAGAATAAAAACTCGGTTTGGAGTTCTAGTTTTCAAAGTATGGACTTTTCGGATATTAGCAAAGAGGGAAGTAGTTGATCACTTTCCTGGGTATGAAAATATAGAAGGGTTAGATAGAAGCAACCAACGATTTTCTTAAACCCCAATATTAAGAATCTTAATGTGGATTGATGGTTCCGTTAATATTTCTATGTAGGTTAAAACAGGTTAAAATAAATAGATTACAATAAAAAAAAGTTTATTTTACTAAAACAAATTAAATATATGAAATGTTTATTCAAATACAAATTCTCTTTTACATATTGGACATTGGTTTGATGTTTTCAAACATTTCCTCAGACAATCACCATGGAATATATGATGACAGGGTGTGAACCTTGCCAGTTTCATAGGATTCAAACAAATTGCACAGACGTCATCGAACTTGACAAGCTCGTCTCTCGTTGCATACCTGTACTGTTTGAGTATATTTCTTTCGGTGTTCAGATCATTGAAACTTTTATAGTATGTATCTTTCAGTCTTAAATAAACATTATTATAAATACCTAATAAAAAACATTTGTACTGGCTATTTAATAATACTGGTATGGCAAATAAGAGAGATATTATCGCCGTCGACACTTGCATGATTACAGGTACCCACAGAGACTCCAAGTTGTCCAAATACGATATTTGAAGATACGTTATGAAGCTGAGAGAAAGCTCTATAAATACTTTTTCAGTAATCAAATAATACGTCCATGTAAATATGGTGTACAAGAGTGTCGGTTTGTAGTTCTCCAAACCTTGTTCTAATCCAAAAACTAACAACATAAAAACTACTGTAATTATAAAGGTAACCGCTTTGGTCCATTCTAACACAATTTTCGTCGCAGACATCGCCAAATGTTTTATGTTCGAATGTTCAGTTATGTGAACGTAGGGTGACCAATCTTCTTTCTCGATAAGCTCCTTGATGTAGGAGACACAGTATGCAATGACATTGTAGAACATGAGCGTGTAGAGACAAGTCACTCTTTGACCAGGTACTAACACCAAATCGCACAGAATGAAAAACATCATCTGCACACAAAAAACAAATATTTAATTTTTCAAATAATGCAAGAAGTTGTCTGCAAATTTACCACTATGCAAACATTAAACAAACATTGAAAAAATGATAAATGTTCAAATAATATAAATAAGTAGTAATTTAGTTATACATTAATATTAATCTATTTTATCATAAAAATTAAATTAATTCAAGCTTATGAATGATCATCTCAATTAATTAAGGTTTTTGGTTGAGATAAAAAAGTCAATGGCACGAGCGGGATTCGAACCCACGATCTTCGGCTAGATACACCGCTGCTCTACCACTTGAGCTATCGTGACCTCGATCCACTCGGACACCAACTTCCTATCTCAACCCCACCTTTTGAGTTTTCCCTCCTTTTTGCCATTTTTCCCCGCTAATCCCGCTCGTGCCATTGTCTTTTTTATCTCAACCAAAAACCTTAATTAATTGTGATATATTAATTGGTCAAGCGGACCACGAAATTAGTGAATTTAATTATTTGAAATGAAGTATAATTCACTAAAGCTCTCCGTGGCCATTTCATTTGTCGCCGAGAATCCAATCCGATTACACGACATTTGAAAAATGGCAAAAAGAAGGGAAAACTCAAAAGGTGGGGTTGAGATAGGAAGTTGGTGTCCGAGTGGATCGGGGTCACGATAGCTCAAGTGGTAGATCAGCGGCGTATCTAGCCGAAGATCGTGGGTACGAATCCCGCTCGTGCCATTGACTTTTTTATCTCAACTAAAAACCTTAATTAATTGTGATATATTAATTGGTCAAGCGGACCACGAAATTAATGAATTTTTAATGGATCATCTCAATGTGCCTATCCTAGCAGGCTGTCTGTCAGACGTACACTGAAAATAGTAAAATGCGTCTGAAAGACCAAGATGAGGAAATCACAGAGATGAAATATGAATGAGACATGTTAACTAGCCCTAGAATATAACTCGCGACTAGTAACAACTGATTTTGACTAATGACAAAATTTAATATTTAGCTTACTACATGTTAAAATATATTGTACAGCCATACTTCGAAAAACCGCCAAAATCCCAAGCTTTTTTGTGTGTAAAACTCATATTTTCTCCGCTTCATGGAAAAACATTGAATCGTATAACCTAACTCAAACCCTAACCCTCCGGAAAGAGCATCCGATATTCCTGGCTCCTAGGGAAAACTTTAACATGGTAAACTCCAGACAAGCCTTAGTACCAAAAAGATGGAGAAAAAGGGAAAAACTCAATCAAGGAAGTGTATCTGTTGGCACACTGATGAATCTAGGATCAAGAAGGTAAAGGGCCAAACAAAAATAACGAGATCCTCTTGAACCTGATTCAACCCAACCTAACCTAACTCAACTCAGCGCAATCCCTCGCAACACGAAAATAGTCACGCAAATAAATTTTATGCGTCCAGCTCAAAAACTGATAGCCTTCATTTATTAGATTATAAATAAAATGAAAAGTGTACTGAGGCTTGTTGTTTCATGGGAAAACATTGAATCAAGGATATGTAACCCCAAGCCAACCCATGCGCACTTCCCTTTCCCGAAAAATTTTGTATATAGCTTAAAAACATAACCACGTTACAAGAAAATCATTTTTAAAACGTGCTTGAAATATTTTTAAAATCATTAGTTTACTTATTGCTTAAAATTAATATTATCACATAAATCTGCCACGATGAACTAATTTAGAGAGCAATAGCCTTTTTAATATGATCCTTTCTCATACATAAACTGGTCCTCCGGGCCGGATGACCAATTTATGTACGGTAAAGGGCGACCCAATACAATCTGGCAAAAGTTAAAACTTGTGGATTCTTGGGGAGGGGGCGTTTACGCTCAATTATGCTGGATTGTCCTTTCGTATAAATACAAGGAGTGGTTAAAATAAGCGAAGAAGTGAGTACACAGACAAACTGAACGTGGCGAAATGCCAATTCAACGAGGGTAGGCTGGACATGATGATAGGTAAGGATCAAACTAGAAATTTTAGTGTGACATTGAGAACATACCTGGTTTATCATAGTCCACAAGTTTTGAAGCTGCATCATGGCTCTTTCTAGGTTGTCGAGAGGCCTGTATACTCTCAGTAAAAACTTGACGACCCCTGTTTTGATACAACACCAATGTTCTGAAAAATCCGCCACAAGATAGAATCACATATGCAAAAAATTTTAAATAACGTTTATTTACCTTTTATCTGCAATGCGATCCCCCTCATTCCACTAATAGGATATAAATAGTTCGCTAACAATACCATTGGTAAAACCAAGAGTGAATAAATAAGGCCAACGCTTTGGAGTAAAATGTAAGACCACTCTTTGATTAAATATGGCAGAAGCAAAATAATAGATAATAAGCAAACTGAAAGAAATTAAAACACATTTTTATTTAAAATATGTATATGTATTTATATTTACAGTTAAAAGTAAATGATTATTTGGAGATCGTGAGATGCGGTCTGGTGTGACGTAGAATTTAGAAAAACATTTTTTTATCGTGCCAACGTTTCGATCTTTATTGAGATCATCTTCAGGGCATGGGATTTATAAACATTCTTTAAATTTTACAAATACACGTAGGATGTGAAAAAAAGGAATTTATGCAATGCTAGAAATTTTAGATTCAATCATAGTATTTGTACTCACTCAAAGTGTTTGTTTTCTGTGTAGATGTGTCATTCTTGTGTGACGTGTTGAGAGATATTAATGTTTTATGTCTATATACATTGGATTTTCAAAGGGGTGCGGAAAGAAGACGGGATAGAAAGACATTTTTATATGAGGAGTCGGCTTCTTTGAGGTGAAAGGAGCTGACAATGGGAAAAACGTAGTTAATGGTTCGGATTCCTTTCAGGATTATACAGACGGGGAAAATTAGAGAAAGGAAAGCCAAATTGTTGAAGAATTAGACTATGTAGAAATGTTTGATGTGTGGAATGTGATGAATGTTTTATATGTTATATTGTATGTTTTGTGTGATGTGATGTATGTGTGTTATCGATATTGAATTTGATTAATGATATTGGCGTTGCTGCGACTGAGTTTACATGTGTCTGTTCTGTAATTGCTGCTGTGTTTATCCCTGTTGATATAAACCATTTCTAAAAAGTTACGTTTATGCTTGTTTTGTTCTGTATGTAATATTTTGGGATTGTTGAAGTCAAAATTGTGTTAGTGTTCAAAATGGTGTAGGATTTTTTGCAATCATATATAGTTGCTTTACTTTCTTATCCAGATATTGGGATGTAATAGCTCATACTATATTACTCATACTACCTCATAATACATCACACCAGAACACATCTCACGATTTCTGAATAATTATCGATTAACGATCACTAATCACCACACACGTTACGTTTATGTTTGTTTTGTTCTGTGTTTAATATCGAGTTGTGTTGCTGTTCAAAATGGTGGGGAGCAAGTGCTGTAGGATTTTATTTACGTTTTGTGCAATAGTAGATATGTTGTTTTATCCTCTTATTCAGATATTGGGATGTAATTCCGATGTAAGTTTTTTTTTTTTGCCTTATGGTCTAGCATATTGGCCAAATCTCTAACTCTCCCTAACCATCCCGATGTAAGTTGCCGGACAATTTTTCAAATTACGTCAGATTATTTGTTACTGGTGTGGGATCTTATCTTGGTCACTAAACACCAGACACACATGTTGAAAGTAAAAGTTAAAAATAGTTTCAATTAATTAAAATTTTTAGTTGAGATAAAAAAGTCAATGTCACGAGCGGGATTCGAACCCACGACCTTCGGCTAGATACGCCGCTACTCTACCACTTGAGTTATCGTGACTTCGATCCACTCGGACACCAACCTCCCACCTCAACCCAACCTTTCGAATTTTCCCTCCTTGAAAAATGGCAAAAAGGTGGGGATGAGATGGGAAGTTAGTTTCCGAATGGATCGAGGTCACGATAGGTCAAGTGGTAGAGTAGCGGCGTATCTAGCCGAAGGTCGTGGGTTCGAATCCCGCTCGTGACATTGACTTTTTTATCTTAACTAAAAACTTTAATTAATTGAACTTATTAACTGGTCAAGCGGACCACGAAAACAAGTGAAGTAAAAAAAGTGATTTACTTAAATCTGTCTAATAAAACAAAGTAGCCCTTTAATAAGTCTTATATTAAATTCAATGGTGGTAAATAAAATCTTAATTATGTTAATTATTAATTATAATTTAATTAGACACTCTGAAGTTGGCAAAATGCTTCAGCCAAGGATAGTCAGACCAACATGACCGGTAACGACCAAATTTCAGGTACATCACCTCCTAGACCACACGAGAAATCTTTACACTATTGGTTATTTATTTAATAAAGACTAACTTTTTCCAAACATTATTGTTTTGTAATTTGTTGGATTCGTGGGGAGCGGTCAAGAATAAAAAATTTATTGTTTTGGATGAGTATCTTTCATGTCAACAGTAAACTTTTAATCTGTTTGGTTTTCAATGTAAACAAACTAGTATTTACTTAAGGGGAGAAAACTCCTGTATACATAGATCTTTATGTTAGCTTAAGGTAATTAGTGTTTTACAATTAGCCTTAAGTAATAGTATTTGAGCATGGATGAACAAATTGTTGATTTAAGATGTCAGAACTTAGACTCCGAATTATAGCCATTTAGAACATGTTATATTAAATAAGCATCCAGTTTTGTGAGAGAGCTTTTTGGATTAAATTAAGTTTATACCTGAATTTGCAGTTTTGTCTGATTGTAGTTGAAGAGTAGATTTGCTCAAAAATTGTAGACTGTGAATCCTCGACCTGAATCTAGTCAACATCCCAGAAAATTTAACAGCTCCTTTTAAATGTTATACAAGATCTGAAAGAGAAATGTTATTTGGAAAAGATGAATTTTGAATAATTCAGAAAACCGTAGACTGAGTCAGCAGTTTGTTATAAATCCTATATTCTATCATAATGAAACTATTAGTTTAGCCTTCTTTTTTTTCTTTCTTTTGTTAACCCTCTTTTCCTATTCTCTCAAAAAACTGAAACCATCTATCGTCACTTGTTGTTCTTTCGTACCACCTCAGTGGGCTTTTTCGTCTCACCACACATCAACACGCTATTTCTTTAAAGTTTTCATTCGTATGCCCTTGTTTTATTGACTTTTAATGCAGCCCATTTTCGCTCCTCATTTATTTTAAGCCATTTTATTTCACACGATATTTAGGGCCTCATTTTCTTCACTATCACCTTCTTAAAGTTAACACCCACTTTTATCATTACACTATACTTTTTACATTATTTCTTCGATTCGGAAAACCAATCTTGGTGGAACATAGAAGAGAGCGGCCTACGTCAAAGATAACTAACATCTTTCCAAGTTAAATACAGTTCACTCAAGTAAGTTAATTTTTTTTAAATTATATATACATGTCATAAAAACTTTACAAAATGTGCACAAAAGATATTTTCATAATATTCTTCATCAGCAGGCCGGTCAGTTTTGAAGCAGGCCTATACTTCCATATCCTTGCTTCCTGTAACTGTGCTGTTGAACTAAGTTTAATTGTACTTTTTTATTGTTATATTTTGTAATTCTTCAAGTTATGATTTCATAGGTAAATATTCAACTTTTTAATAAAAAATGATGGATGACTTTTTTCCTTATTAAACATAATACCCTATCTTTCACATTGTCTTCCGCTGATGCGAATTTCTCCTTTCGGACCGTTCCCAAATAGTCTCTGTCCCGTATAAGCCCCCTCATCTAACCATCCAGCAGTCCCTGAATGCTCAAGCAACTCCGCTTCCCTATTAACGACATCCCAAAATGCATAAAATATTTCCCATTGGCATTATGCAGATGATTCCCAAATTTACCTTTCCTCCCAATTTCCTGACTTACAAACTGCAATTGAAAGAATTCAGGAGGGCTTAAACTGCATTTAAGTTACTGTGATTGTTCATTATTTTGAGGGCTGATGAAAATAGGCTTAACATGAACGTAGGAAAAGTCCCAGGCTATTCTGTTTGGATCCAATTATTTCCTTTAACTCCTATCCATCCATTTACAATCAACTATCAACATTTCTTTCTGTCCCAACTCCAAACTCTCTTGGTAACTTCAAGATAAATTTAAATGTCTAACGGATTGTTTTGTACGTTTTATCATTGGCCCCCATCTTACTGATCTACTGATTTGAAATGGTGATACGGGTGTTTGTATAGGATCTCTTTTCCAACACAGCTTCACGGAGATTATTCGAACATCTTTCTACAAAGATGATCAGAAAGATAATCAACGGACATAATTCAATCATGCCAGTTGTTCATTATTTTGATGAGTCAATGTTATACTCTACACAAAATGGATTAGTCAGAGGCAAGGTTTCTGGAGAATCCAGTTTCTTCCATGGTATCCAAACTCACCAAAGAAAGCCAGTATAAGGGAACTCTCTCATTATCTTATGCTTACACCACGGCATTGATCCAGTGAGGAGAATTGGCGAAAGATTTTTAGACAGTCTGGTAGGAGAGAAAATAATGTGCTATGAAGGACTGACCTAAAATATAACAAACTGTATTGGTGACAAATCGGAGCCCTGAGGCACACCAGAGGCAACATGGACAAGGCACACCAAAATTTTACAATAAGATTTCTTCCAGAAACAAAAAAAATCAATCCATCCCTATTCTTAACCTTATAAGTTTTTTGAACCCATTCTACATCTATACTTGAGTCATGAAAAGAAATATTTACGAGGTTATGTTTTATGGAGGAGTTTAACCAATAAGAAGCGATCTATCATGTCAACGGAGTTAGACAAATCCATGTAAAATACATTTTGACTGACTTACAGGTAATCCTTTTAAAAACAAAGCATTGAAAAATGAAGCCAAATATTGAGGAGTTACACTAGGAAACTTTGCGAAAAGATATTGGCGCTACAACAGAAAAGGAAGGACAGCAGGAAAAAACTGATGTCGTAGACCAGATATTGTCAATGATAGTGAGGCAGATGTACGGTGCAATTGCCTGGGATGATAAAATCAAACAAACAACAAAACCAAGAGAATTTACAAAAATAGAGATGCTCGTGTATTTGTATCCCTGGAGTGAGCTAAACATCAATAAAGAAGAATCTCCAAAGCGATTAAAACTTGAATGGAAGGACAAGAAAGTCTTAATGTGAGAGCCTCCGATATTCCTGGCTCCTAGGATGAAGACGTGAACAGGGTAAAAAAACCAGAACATAGTACCAAAAATGAGGAGGAAAAGAGAAAAACTCAATCCAGGAAGGGTATATGTTGGAACACCGATGAATCTAGCATCAAGAAGGTACATGGAAGCATTTTGTCAAACAAAACTATCAAGAGCCTCTTAAACCGGGTTCAACCCAACCGAACCTCACCCAGCTCAGTGCGAGCCCCGTCAACACAAAACTGGTTACGCAAAGAAATTTTATTACTCAAAAGGCAGAGTTTAAAAGTGGTTTTTTGCTAGTCTGTCAGGCTTAAAGTCTTAATGGAATATGTTCTTATCTCATTTGTCCAAAATTCGACTTATCCAGTTTTAACTCGAGGGCGCAGATATAATAAAACAAAAGAAGCTGAATATAAACCGTTATAATTGGGCCTAATCAATTCCTTAATGATTTTGGACTCACCAGTGCGCTATAAGTACAGAACAAAGTAAACAATATCCCTCGATGTGTGCGGTAGGCCAAATTCTAATGAATTTACATCTGCATGTACAATCCTCGTAAACGACCACGTTTTTACGGGAGCAACCTTTCATGAAACTGTTGTAGGATACGTTTAAACGAAAGGCTCAATACTGCCATTATGGAATTCATAACTTTAGGTTAAACAGAACATTTATTTATAGAGTGATAGTTACAGAGTTGAAAGAGATAGACACAGGGAATCACAGCACAGACAGAAGAGTCTGTGTCTGATTACAACTTGAAGCCAAAGTTGCAATTTTTTTTTTATTACAATACAAGAATCAACAAATCAAAAGTGGAGGTAAGTGCATTAGCTCCGAGTTCGTTCATTCCCTGAGGTCAAGGTGAAGCATGCGCCAAGTTTTAAATATAACACGTAAAGGTTAGGAAACTTGAATGTTGCAATTCACCTAGGCTTTTTTTCGAAATCGAGTCGAAATTTTAATCCTGTCGTTTTATTCTAACCAAGGAATATCGATAAGAGTCCCGAGATCAGCTTGAACAAATTTGAACGAAACGATATCAAATATTGCATCAGTGATGTTTGTCTAGGTGCGATGTCACCTAAGATATCAAATTCCAAGACAAATTCCGTTTTTCTTTTAAGTTGTATTGTTGAAATACTGCCAATTATAAGCTGCCGATAATAAAGTCCGACGGTCATCAACTATACCTCTTTTAAATCATTTATGTAAAAGCCTCATTTGTACGTCGAAAAAAAAAACATTTTTGACTTCTTTAATACACGTTCCAGCAGAACATTCTTGATAAAAATGGAGGAAAAAGCTTCTAATTAATCAATGAAACTATTCACTTGTCTTACGTGGCTCGAATACCTAATGTAATGCAAAAATTTAACATAATTGCGATGTTTCGTGCTATATCATCAGGAAATGGAAGGAGATGAATTAAAAAAAATATGACTATGTTTTATCCCTCAAGAGAGTTTTTGGTGTAGCAATCGCAGGAGAAAATTATATACAGGAATTTAAATAATACAGGAAATAAATAATTTTATAATAGAGAAAGGATGTTGAAAGTTTTAAAATTACAAAAGAAGAATGTGACTTTGAAAAAACAATTTTATATTTAAAGAAAACTCATCGGGTGTTAATGAACGAATACAACGCCAGATAGGTGCAACGACCCGAATCAAGTTGCTCAAGGCGATACAAACTTGACCAGACTTTTCCGCCAAAATGTACAGCATACAAATAAACAAATTTTATATATTACAAGAAAGACTTAAATGAGCTAATAACATTATGCTCACTGGTTGTGATTGTAACATGAACATGAAGTACATAGAAACAAGAAAGAAGAAAAAGGTAACGGAGGTTGATATTTCAAGAAAATTTAGATGGCGATTGTTTTTCCATCATCCCTCGAAATTCCATTGAAATTTTTGAAATTACCATCGTTTTTTTTTCATGAAAAGTCCAATCTATTTTGTATGACGGATTATCGAAGATCTTAGTAAAGGTTAGAATGTGAAAAAAATCTGGTTTAGTGTATGGCATCGTCTTACCTCACTGGTTCTTCAGGCGTTTCGAATTAAGGCGACACCTTTCACATTATAGCACTGGACGACGAGCTGTGCACTCTGAGAGTGGCTCTGTTGAAATCTGAAATTATTGTTCAATGGACGTTATTGTGTAGTGCGTCAAGATGCGGATGTTTACTCGTCATCTAAGAGTCGAAACGGAAATAGAAAGACGCTCTGCCAAGTCTGAGCTCCCACTCTGAAATCCTCCCCCTGCCATATCTGCGTACGCGGTCTCTTACTGTTTGCAAACAAAATGACTCTTACCTTTATTTTTCTGTCGCAGTATCTTCGGCGATGAAAGGCGTATTTTGTAGATTGTTGATACCGCCCCCGCACCAAGTCAACGAGCTGTACGCAGCATCTGTAAAATTGCGAAGCTAACCAAAATCGTCTAACTAAAAATATTGAGAGGCTTTTGTGTAATAGATGAAAATTTATTAAATATTAACATACTTGAAAGATAGTAATATTAGTTTTTTTTCTCTCTAAGTGCAATTCCGGATGAAACTGAGTAGTTAGCAGGCTAAAATTATGGTTAACTACAGACGTAGGGGGCGGCGCTGGCCACGGCGCTCATCACTGTAAGGTAAAGGTCCCGGGTTCGAATCCAGCTGCCTTGCAGTCGAACCCGACATACTTACAAATGGACTTTTTTTAAAAACACCGGCACCCTGAGGCTTCATATAACCTCTGCTGTTGCGAACCCTCGTAAAAAAAAGTACAGACGTGGGATCACCAAATTGCAATGAAACGTTTTTTTGGTGATATTAGATCGGAAAATATTAGACAAATATCTAAGCTTTCTTGCAAAGCCCTAGGAACCGAAGAAAAAAAATTAAGTTTGGTATTTAAATCTAGGATATAGAAATAAAATCAGGATTGTTTCAAATGTTATTATACATATAAAAAGTGGCAAAAACCAAAAAACCTGTTATGCAAGTATTTCATAGATATTATATGTCAGATTTGTATTTTTAAGTAGGATATAAAAATAATATGACGGAATTTATTAAATGGGATTAGTTATATAAAATTACAATTAATTAAGGTTTTTAGTTGAGATACAAAAGTCAATGGCACGAGCGGGATTCGAACCCACAATCTTCGGCTAGATACGCTGCTGCTCTACCACTTGAGCTATCGTGACCTCGATCCACTCGGACACTAACTTTCCTTTTTGCCATTTTTCAAATGTCGTGTAATCGGATTGGATTCTCGGCGACAATTGAAATGGCCACGGAGAGTTTTAGTGAAGATATACTTCATTTTAACTTATTCAGTTCACTAGTTTTCATGGTCTGCTTGACCAGTTAATATCTTTCAATTAATTAAGGTGAGGTAAGTTGAGATAAAAAAGTCAATGTCACAAGCGCGGAGTCGAAGTGTCGATAGCTCAGGGGGTAGAGTAGCGGCGTATCTAGCCGAAGGTCGTGGGTTCGAATCCCGATCGTGACATTGACTTTTTATCTCAACTAAAAACCTTAATTAATTGAAAAATATTAATTGGCCAAGCGGACCACGAAAATTAGTGAATTAAAATTAATTTTTTTAATAAAAACTAATACTAAGATTGCATTACCCCCGTGCACATCTGCCCGATGCTATGCTATGCCACCCTACTCTACGCTATGCGATCCCCGCTGTCCAGATTTTCGTCGGGTCGCATCGAGTACAGTCGAAGACAAAAGGACCGGACACTCATATTTTTATTCAAACTACATTTATTATTGTCGTTATATTAATTACAACAAACTTATTTTAATATAAACCAAATTGAGTGAGTAAAATACTTTGTTTGAATATAAAATATATTTTGCATTGTATAAATTCACTTTTCCACATCCAAAATGTAATTGTTATATGTAAACAATCTTACAATTAATTAAGGTTTTTAGTTGAGATAAAAAAGTCAATGGCACAAGCGGGATTCGAACCCACGATCTTCGGCTAGATACGCCGCTGCTCTACCACTTGAGCTATCGTGACCTCGATCCACTCGGACACCAACTTCCCATCTCAACCCCACCTTTTGAGTTTTCCCTCCTTTTTGCCATTTTTCAAATGTCGTGTAATCTATTTGATTCTCGGCGACAAGTGAAATGGCCACGGAGAGCTTTAGTGAAGTATACTTCATTTTAATTAATTAAATTCACTATTTTTCGTGGTCCGCTTGACCAATTAATATCATCCAATTAATTAAGGTTTTAAGTTGAGATAAAAAGTCCTCCTTGAAAAATGGCAAAAAGGAGGGAAAATTCAAAAGGTGGGGTTGAGATAGGAAGTTGATGTCCGAGTGGATCGAAGTCACGATAGCTCAGGTGGTAGAGCAGCGGCGTATCTAGCCGAAGGTCGTGGGTTCGAATCCCGCTCGTGCCATTGACTTTTTTATCTCAACTAAAAACCTTAATTAATTGTAATATATTAATTGGTCAAGCGGACCACGAAATTAGTAAATTTAATGAAGTTATATAAAATGTTGCAAAAAAACAAAAAAACGAGTAAAGAAAAGTTGTTTTTGAGTAATTTACATTGTTCTCAAATATGGTTTTCTGGCTTCGTTGTGTATGTATTTCATGGTTATTAAATGTAAATCAACTTGTATTTTTAAACACGATATGAAAATAATATGAAGGGATATATTAAATAAGATTAGTTGTATAAAATATTGCAAAAATTTAAAAAAAACTATTAAAGTACGTAAAGAAAAATTATTTTTTGGAAAAACGGGATAGTTTTAATCACCCTTTAAAGCCATTAAACACAAATTTTCATCTCAAAAAAGCATCCTTAGGGGTTAGAGGAAAAATGAGTAATTTACATATTTTTTAAATACGTGTTTTTCTGGATATTTTGTGCACGTATTTTTAGGTTTTCCTATATCAGTCGATTACTATTTTTAAGTTTCAAAGAAGGATATGAAAATAATATGAAGGATTGTATTAAATGGGATTGATTAGTTATACAAAATGTTCGAAAACCAAAAAACGAGTAAAGCAGATTAAAAAAATTTGTTTTAGAATAAATCAATACGGATTGGTTTTAAGCCTCCTTTAAAGCCCTTAAATATGAAATTTCATCGCATAAAGCGCCCCTACGGGCCAGGAGATAAATGAATAATTTGGTTAATTCATTTTTTTTTTTTTAATGTGGCTTCCTGGCTTTGGTATGCATGTATTTCATGGTATTATGTACTTCATGTAACAGTCGATTTGTATTCTTAACTTTTTAGTAAGATATGAAAATAGTACGCAGGATTGTATTAAATGGGACTAGATTGTAAAAAGTTGCAAAAACCAATAAAACGCTCGGAGTAAAGTAAGTTAAAAAAATAATTCAGATTCGTTGTAGGCACTTTTTAAAGCTCTTAAATACGAATTTTCATTTCAAATAAAAAATAGACTTTTTGGGCTCCATTAGGCAGGGACAATTGTTTGTCTCCCATGATCGGTGTTCCATTTAAAAATTCCCAACTTCCCTGGGTTTTATCCAAATTCAACGTTATGAAAGCCGTTGGAATGCTGAATGTCTCTTCTTTCATCCTATGCCAAAAAGGGTTAGATGTTATGTTATCGTAAGTGAGAAAAATAGTGATGAAATCCACCAAGAGACCTCGAAAAAATATTGGGTTATAGTACATTCCAAATAGAGTGCAACCAACCGAGCTGTTCTATCTCAAAGTTTTCTCGAAAAATCTCGACCTTAATCCATAAATTATCTTTTTTTTCTATATCTAGAATCTCTGTTCCAATTTTTAGCCACATTTCTGAATTCAGCGTTAAATTTCCTATAAGAAGGAACTATTTTTAATCTTATCAAACGCCGATGTATTAATTCAATCTAAAATGATAAATTTTAAAAAAGTAGAAACTTTTGATACAATTCCAAAAATAACTGTATTTCAAGGAGAGGGGGCGTCGGTAGCCGCAACGGTTTAGGCGTTGACACGGCGCTTATCACTGTAAGGTAAAGGTCCCGGGTTCGAATCCAGCGGCCCTTGCATTCAAACCCGACATACTTACAAATGTTTGTTGTTTTTTTTCAAAAACAACGGCACCACGAGGGTTGATATGACCTCTGCTGTTGCGAACTGTCGTAAAAAAAATTGTAGGGGTGCCAAACTTCATAAAAACTTCTTCATTTAATAAGCTTTCTTATTGTGTACTCGAAGTTCCAAAAACGAACTTTTCGACGGTAAAATCAATCTGGAATGTTAAAAAATCGTGATTCAAATTTGTAAATTTAACAAAAGCAGAGTGAACTGTGTGATTTTGAAAATTTTAAGCAGCATTGTTGACGATGTATGATTTAAAAAAGGAATGAATTATGTAAGATTGTTAATTTTCTTAATCTCTTTATTGTGAAATAAAATGCTTTAAAAAAAAAGAGACTCACAACGATGTTCAAAATGCATTGGACCAACCTGTATATTCGAGTTATAATTTAATTACAAATTTATGTCTTTAATTTTTTTTCTGCTTTCGTTGTTCATGTACAATATTTCAACGCTATTAGATAACAGGCATTTTTTTAAATTCTTGGATAAGAAAATAAAATTCAGGTTTGCATTAAATGTGATTAAACATCTAAAAAGTTGCAAAAAACGCTTCTAGTACAGTAGGTAAAAAAGTTGTTTTTGTAAAAATCAATTCTGGCTCGTTTAAAGCATCCTGTAAAATTTTAAATACGAATATTTATTTAGAAATCGTAAGATGCGGTATGGTGTGACGTAGGTTTCAGAAAAACATTTTCTTTATCGTGCCAACGTTTCGATCTTTATTGAGATCATCTTTCTTTCTATCAAAAATATATTTTTTACATTTTTATTTTATTTTTTATATTTAAAAAAAATATATATACATATATATATTGCATTGTATAAATTCACTTTTCCACATCCTAAATGTATTTGTTAAATGTAAACAATGTTTGTAAATCCCAGGCCCTGAAGATGATCTCAATAAAGATCGAAACGTTGGCACGATAAAGAAAATGTTTTTCTGAAACCTACATCACACCAGACCGCATCTCACGATTTCTAAATAAATATCGATTAACAGTCACTAATCACCACACACTTAAATACGAATTTTCATCGCAAACGAAAGATCTACAATTTTGATCTTGATTAATCCGGTGGAATTTTTTCTCGCTGATATCAGGTGTTCCACTTAAAGATGTATAACTCTTTTGGATTTTATCCAAATTCAACAATATTGCTATCCTTAGAAAGCCGAATGCTTTTGTTCTTTTAGCCTATACCAAAAAGTTAATAGTTTATGTCATTGTAAGTGAGAAAAGAAAGGATGCAATTAACAAAAACTACTCAAAGGTTTTATTTTAATTCTCCTGTTCTAATCTATTTACGGTGGACATGTTTCTGCCATTAAGAGTACTTTATTGGATGTTAAACTACTGTAACGTTTTCTGTTGATCGGTGGAATTGTTTCAGAGTGATGACCATTTTTGTGATGTTTAAAAAAGTCAGGGGCATTTGGAAGGCAGACAATTTCAGAGAAAAAAAATTGATTTATTTTATTGTTATCATTAGCGTGTGTGGTGTTTAGTGACAGATAACCAATGATTATTTGGAGATCGTGAGATGCGGTCTGGTGTGACGTACGTTTTAGAAAACATTTTCTTTATCGTGCCAACGTTTCGATCTTTATTGAGATCATCTTCAGGGCTCAAAGTGTTTGTTTTCCGTGTAGATGTGTCACTCTTGAGTGTCGTGTTGAGAGTGTCCACCAGTGTGTGATTAATCCCGGGTGGTATTTTTTCTCGCCGATGTCCGCTTTTTCACTGAAAATTCTTAACTCCTCTGGATTTTATTTAATATCAACTGTCGAACAACCGATAGAAAGGTGAACATCTCATACTTCATCCTATGTAAAAACTGCTTAGATTTTATGGTAATATAAGTGAGAAATTAATTAAGGTTTTAGTTGAGATAAAAAAGTCAATGGCACGAGCGGGATTCGAACCCACGATCTTCGGCTAGATCCGCCGCTGCTCTACCACTTGAGCTATCGTGACCCCGATCCACTCGGACACCAACTTCCCATCTCAACCGCACCTTTTGAATTTTCCCTCCTTTTTGCCATTTTTCATATATCGTGTAATCGGATTGGATTCTCGGCGACAAATGAAATGGCCACGGAGAGTTATAGTGAATTATACTTCATTTTTATCATTAAATTCACTAATTTCGTGGTCCGCTTGACCAATTAATGTACTACAATTAATTAAGGTTTTTAGTTGAGAGAAAAATGGCAAAAAGGAGGGAAAATTCAAAAGGTTGGGTTGAGATGGGAAGTTGGTCTCCGAGTGGATCGAGGTCACGATAGCTCAAGTGGTAGAGCAGCAGCGTATCTAGCCGAAGATCGTGGGTTCGAATCCCGCTCGTGCCATTGACTTTTTTATCTCAACTAAAAACCTTAATTAATTGTAATATATTAATTAGTCAAGCGGACCACGAAATTAGTGAATTTAATAAGTGAAAAAATAAGGATGAAATCAACAAAACTCTCTAAATTTGTCATTTTATTTCCCTGGTTGTAATTAATTTACGGAGAACAATTTAGTAAATTTAGTGCCATTACTTGTATTTTATAGGGTTCTTAACCCTTGTAAAGTTTGTTGATCCGTGGAATCGTAATGTTATCGGTATTTTTGGACTGATCTACCGAAGGCATTTTTTCTCGTATGGTCCAGTGTTCCAGTTAAAAATTCATAACACATAACATTTATTACAAATCCAACTATTATAACCATCGGAAAGCCTAATTTCTCTTCTTTGAGCCTATATCAGCAACCTTTAGTTTTTATAGTATTTTAAGTAAGAAAAATGAGGATGAAATTGACAAAACTACCTCAAACGTTTTATTTTATTTCTCCTGTTGTATTTTATTTACGAAGGACAAGTTTGCGCCATTTAGTGTAATCTGTAGAGTCCTAAACTCTTGCTGTGTTTCCTATTGATCCGTGGAATTGTTCTAATGTTTTTAGTATTTTCTGGTTTTTGAAAAAAAATAATCGAAAGCTTCAGAGTAAGGAAAAATTTTAAAAAATTTCCTTCAACAGTTTGTATTCAGGTGTTTTTTAGGATGTAGAAAATGAATATCAAATTTTTTCTTGATAAAAATATATTTAATATACTTTGCTGAGTCGGTCGGTCACTTACGAGCCATAGCATGAGTATGGTAGATATTGAAATACATAATTTATCACCAAGCGACGTAGCAAAGTATAGTAAAATTTTTTTTTTACCAAGAAAAAAAGTTGATATTCTTTTTTCCTACCGACAAAACCACTGAACACAAATTTTTATGAAAATAAAAAAATTGGTTTTTTATTTCTCATTTTTTCACCTTCCAAATGCCTCTAGTTTTCCCCTCAACCCTTCCACACGAAACTTTAAAAGATTTACAAACTATAAAATATAATTAAAGGCACAAAGCGCACTTCCTTAAATAAATTGGAAGAGGAGAAATAAAATAAAACGTTTGAAGTGTTTTGGTTTATTTCATCATTATTTTTCCCCCTTATAAATAACATAACATCTAAACCTTTTTGACATAGTCTGAAAGAAGAGACATTCAGCTTTATAACAGTTGCCAAAATGTTGAATTTAAATCAAATCCAGAATAGTTATGAACGTTTAAGTGGAACATTGAACATCGGAGACAAAAAAATCGCTTAACCACCCCAAAAAGTGTTTTGTTTTTTTATTTGCGATGATAATTCGAATTTACGGGTTTTAAAGGGTGTCTAAAACGAATCCGAATTAGTTTTTTCAAGAATAATATATTTTTTGGGCCTGCTTTATTCGAAGTAACAACTTCAGTTAGAATACAAAACAACCTTTGGCCAGTACCGCAAAGCGAGAATGGGCGGACCAACACGACAGGCGATCAATCCGTGGACAAACGTACAACTACTTCCATTACCACCACCCGACATTTGGGAAGACTAAGACAAAATGTTGCCAGTGTCTCCATCAGTCGACCCTGGGTCCGCTTGTGCTCGCTGTCACGACTCGGTCATTCGATGTTCTTCGACTCTTTAATTAACCTTGAAATTTTCTCGTGGTCTGAAGAACGATGATCTGATCGTTTGGACGTTTTACGATCATCCTGGTCCGCCTATCGCTCTGCCCGCCGGAATTTCAACATCTTCAGTGGTAGGTTGTCTTTTTTCATGTTTCAAACTTCAAATAATTAATTTTTTTTTTTTTTAATGTAAGGTTTTGGTCGAAATGAAAAAGTGCCACGAGTGGGATTCGGACCCACGACCTTCGGCTTTCATTTCAACCAAAACTTTACATTAAAAAAAAGATTAATTATTTGAAAGAAATAATTTGGTCAATAGACCTCTAAATATAATGGCTTCAAATAATATTTGGAAAATTTCCGTTCCACTATTTGAGCAAATTTCAGTTAATAAAAAAACTCATAGGTCTGCAAGAAAGTAAAGGTACAGTGAAATATTTTCTCCCAGGCCTTTTATTTTCTCTTAAAAAAAAAATTATAATGGTGATAATAATAATAAATAAAAAGGTGATTATAGTTTAAATTGCGTATAGACATTTATTAGATATTTTTAGTTAGGGCAAGGTCTGCTAGCGTACTGGCGATAAATAATTATAACACAATTGTTATCAACCTTACACTAATAGATTATATGCTAAGGCTGCATAATTCAAAATGCAAACAGGCTTATCGTATTGACGGCCGAAAAAAAAGATCGAATCTCCAAAGAAATAGACACCTACAGTTTAGATGATAATAATAGAAGCTGTAAATAGTCAACAATGGATCCGGTGTAATCTATCTGAGATAGCTGTTAGATAGAAACGGGGGATAGCTTTCCCATATCGGCGCGTTTTCGATACAAAACAATTTTAATGTATTGTGCAAAATACACAGGGTGATCGTGAGACAAGTGGACTATGTTTACTGGAGAAGCCTGAACAGACTAAACAAAAAATCAATCAGAAAAAGGTAAATATTAGGGGAAAATATATATCTAAAAAAAGATGTATTTAAAGAAAAGTAGCACGCGAAAATTATATATGAATTATTTTTAAGCATAAAATCTAGTTTTCAATATTTCACAAAACAAAAGATTACACAAGCCTTCTTTTGTTTCTCCAGCAGTTAAAAAGTGAAACAGTTAATGAAAATCGTTTCACATAAGATTTATTTAGTTTTTAAAGCATTTTTCTAAGCATTTAAAATTTTAATTACTGTATTTTTTTTTTATAAGGAAATGAGTTTGTTAGTGGATATGATCTTTTCTTTTGGTAGGTATCTTTGTAATCAATCATTCGACCTTGTGGGTTTTATTACAATAGATACTCATTTGGCTTTTTCCGAAATGACAATTTTCATAAAGAAAACTATAGGCCAGAGTTGATGCAAGTGGATGAATTTTTTTCTATTTAAAAAATGTAAATTAGAAATGGCATTTATTACCTTGTAGGTCGTTCGCGTCTTGAGCTGGTGTTACACGCGTCTTCGTCGACCATTGGAGGCTTCGGTATTCCATTTTGGATGAGAAATTCAAACAAACCCGTGCGATCACAAAAATTTCACTTAAATTGAATTTGAAAAGGTTCGAGACTCGTTACCCAAAATTTTTATGTAGCGAAATTAAAATCCGTCTCTAATTGGTCTTATTCACATTTCACAATAGGCCGCTTCTAAAACGCCTCGCTCTTGGTTAATGCGGATATCAAAAACGATTTTGAACGATTATAATTTGGAAAACGATAAAATTCTGTAAATAGACAAACAATCAAAGGCCGCATGTGCCGACACATAACAAAACGACCTAAAAGAGGCGGGGTTATCTTGAGAACCGTGAGGGACAATAATTAGACTTTTCCTCCCTCGCCGCTAATAAAAATGCCCAGTTTAATCTCGGATAGTTTGTCGAATGAGATACACGTGTGAAACAATACTATTAACTGTGTACCAGATTAGCCAGTATCGTGATAAGAGAGAAGAACGACCCTTGAACGGAGGGGGTTTCGGGATTTTGTTGTTCTGCATCTCTCCCGTCGATTTTGTCTTTTTTTTGGTTTGAATTTATTCACATTTCGATCCATTTGTTCTTCGCCGGTCGAGCGGTTCGGTCCTGCGGTCGCTAACGTCCCTTTATGCCTGTTGAAGTGACCCAGGTCTGTTCGGTCTCGATTTTCTCTTGTGCAGAACATTTTCACTTCACTGCAAGAAAAAAAAAAAAAGAACAAACATCTTAACCTTCGAAACGATAGTTGACAGGTTCTCAAATGTTTTTAGGTACTGAAATCGAACGATGTTTCTGTGCAACTATTTTACTCTTGTGGTCGCCATCACTTTTCTACAAGCATACAGGTAAGATATGATGGTTTTCATTAATACACTTTTTATTTACATATATAATGTGTTCCATGATCGAGAAAACATCCTATTAGATTTTATATCAGAAACTATGGGCAAATCAGGCTTCAGCCTTTAGTTCGAAAAATAGCTAATCAATATACTTTTCTAAGCATGAAAATACCGGATTGCGATAACTACTAATAACAGGAATAAGCTGGATAGTAGTCAAAGAGTCACGGTAGATTCTTAAATCCATTAGATTTCTTGGTCCGAGTGACCAAATAACTTCTTTCAATTAATTAATCTTTATGTAAGGTATTGGTTAAGATAAAAAAGTCCGTGTCACGAGCGGGATTCGAACCCACGACCTTCGGCTAATACGCCGCTGCTCTACCATTTGAGCTTTTTTATCTCAACCAATACCTTACATAAAGATTAATTAATTGCAAGAAGTTTGTGGTCAATCGGACTACGAAATCTAATGGATTTAATAAGCAAAATGAAGTATATCTTCACTAAACCTCTCCGTGGTCATTTCATTTGTCGGCGAGAATCGAATAGATTACACATTTGAAAAAGGCAAAAAGGAGGGAAAATTCGAAAGGTGGGTTGGTGTCCGAGTGGATCGAAGTCAGGATAGCTCAAGTGGTAGAGCCAGCGGCGTATCTAGCCGAAGGTCCTGGGTTCGAATCCCGCTCGTGACACTGACTTTTTTATCTCAACCAATACCTTACATGTAGATTCTTAAGTTGCGACGTTCGAAGCCCCTGATTTTTTCGGGTGTGGCATACGAAATATCCTTGAAATTAACTATCTGAAAAATCAAAAACCGCTCAAACAAATAAGAAAAAATCAAAATTATTGATCTGGTTTCTACTGAACATGACTAAAGGCACGATCGAAGATCCATACGGTCTGGTTATGAAATTTTAAATTTTAATAATGTGCACAAAGAGATAGTACACATTTTAGAGATATAATAGAGATACTATGCAAAAAAACTATTAATAGAACATTACATAACGTATCCTGTTACTTGTCCGTTCTTTGCAAAATGGTCAACCTTGTAGAAAACCGAGGGGGAAGATCGGGTCGTACCTGAGTTTTAATCTTTTTGAACCGTTTCGCCCCGTTGTTCCAAACGCCGACAATGGGTTTACAATTTCGTTTATATAACTGGTCTCAATAAAATTCTTTGCGGTCCCTTTCTAAATTGAAACGGGCCTTAAATTTATTGGGGGAACGCAAAGGCATATTATTTTTAAAATTTGCTTTGAACGTTCTTTGGGCTGATCCGCTGGTTTTTCCAAAATACTAATTTACTAGGGATATAAAAACTTAACTTTGTTTTGTTTATTATGTGTACAGAATTCATTTTAGACTTCTCCATTTCAGCTTTTTCCTACATATTCAACTTCCTTTCCGCTTTGGTTCTCAATTTTCCTGCCTTTTTCACTGTCTCTTGGCTAAGGATTTCTTTATTTTTTTATTCCTTATATGTCCAATTTCCTTGCCTACTGGTTTTTTAAAAATAAATATTTAAATAAATAATCCGAACACTGGAGGTAGTTAAAAAATATTGGTGCTATCTTTCATAGCCTGATAAGAATCGAGTATAACGGCTATCAAAAATGTAGCAATTTTGTATACTTTTCTCTTCAAAATATTTTTTAAATCTTTTGTTTAATGTGTGGTATTTAGTGACCGTTAGCCAATGATTATTTGGAGATCATGAGATGCTGTCTGGTGTGACGTAGGTTTTAGAAAAACATTTTCTTTATCGTGCCAACGTTTCCATCTTTATTGAGATCATCTTCAGAGCTCAATAAAAATCGAAACGTTGGCACAATAAAGAAAATGTTTTTCTAAATCCTAAGTCACACCAGACCGCATCTCACGATCTCCAAATAATCTTTTTTTAATTTATTACGTGTATAAAAAATAAAACTAATTTTTTATTTATTATTTATAGAAAATTCATTTTAGAATTTTCGTAGTAGCAAAGAGACAGCTAATAAAGCAGGAAAATCGAGCACCAAAGCCAAAAGGAATTTGAATATGTACGAAAAAGCTGAAATTTGATGCGCTTACATATAGAAATGGAAAATTAATGAAACAAATTAAAAAGATGTTTTAAAAAATATTTTGAAGGGCATAAAAAATTACTACATTTTCGATACACTTTTTACTCGATTCTATATTGTTGAATAAGTAAGTACGAGAAAGCTGAAATAGAAATATAGAAATGAAGAATTCTAAAATGAATTCCCTATAAATAATAAATTAAACAAATTGATTTAATTTTTTCATACCCCTAATAAATTTAAAAAAATTGTTTAAAAAAATATTTTGAAGAGAAAAGCATAAAAAATTACTACATTTTTGATAGCCCTTATACTCGATTCTTATCAGGCTACGAAAGATAACGCCAATATTTTTTTTTAAACACCAGTGCTCGGATTATTTATTTATTTATTTTAATTATAAAAGTAAAACTACATTGTTTTATTTATTGTTTGTAGAAAATTCATTTTAGAATTTTTCATTTCTAAATGAAAGCGTTAAAACATCCAACTTCAGCTTTCTCGTACTTATTCAACTTCCTTTCGGCTTTGTTGCTCGATTTTCCTGCTTTATTCGCTCTTGGCTAAGGATTTCTTTATTTTTTCCTCTAATTCCAATTTCCTCGTCTACTGTTTTTTTTAAATAAATAATTATTTATTACTTCATAGCCTGATAAGAATCGAGTATAAGAGCTATCAAAAATGTAGTAATTTTTTATACTTTTCTCTTCAAATTATTTTTTAAACCATTTTTTTTTATTTATTAGAGGTATGAAAAATTAAATTGATTTGCTTTATTTATTATTTATAGAGAATTCATTTTGAACCATCCGTCTCTCTACGAAAGAGCATGCTGTATGAATGCGAAAGGGTTGAGAAAAAAAAAGAAACTCAAAAAGCTTCTACCGTCATAAACAATTGTCTAAAATCCAAAGCATCCAACTTATTCTATTGAAGCTTAGGTCTTTGCAGAACGAATTACGATTTTGCCACGTTTTCGCGTATAAAAGAGCACTTTTGTCATATATTTATCATTGATTGTTTGGAATAGTTGTAGCTAAGGGATTGTAAAAATTATATTCATTTTAGGAGAAAAAAAAGTTTAGTTACAAAAAAAGTCGACAGATTTTTTTTTCAAATTTAAATTTTTTCTCAAATTAAAACCAATTGCTTTAGGAATGATTTTGCTAACCATAACTGTCCGTCACATATTCACAAACATGCAAAATTTAATTAAAATTGATTCAATGGTTTTTAAGAAAAGTGCACAAATGTGGAGGGTTTTTTCCTCATAAGCACAGATAAAAATCTTTCAATTAATAAGGTTTTTAGTTGAGATAATAGAAAGATATTCATTGGTCAAGCGGACCACGAAAACTAGTGAACAGATAAAAATGTTAATTTTGTCTGCCCTAAAAACATATATGCTTCGTTCAAAACCTGATCTTTTTGAATTTCCTATTTAAGAGAAAAGAAGATATATTCGCATGAGCAAGAATTTTGAGATTTGATGAAAACGCCAACGATTTTATAGATTCTGTTCTTTTAGGAATCAATGGAACGTAACACGTACTGGATTAATTGTTAGTATAAATTATTTCAATTAATTAATCTTTATGTAAGGTATTGGTTGAAATAAAAAACCAGTGCCATGAGCGGGATTCGAACCCACGACCTTCGGCTCAATACGCCGCTAGTCCGCTACCCTACCACTTGAGCTATCGTGACTTCGATCTTCTCGGATACCAACTCTCCATCTCAGCCTACAACCTCTCGAATTTTCCCTCTTTTTGCCATTTTCATTCGAACGGTTGCAGGTTGAGATGGAGAGTTGGTATCCGATCGAAGTCACGATAGCTCAAGTGGTTAGAGCAGCGACGTATTGAGCCGAAGGTCGCGGGTTCGAATCCCGTTTGTGGCACTGGTTTTTTTATTTCAACCAATACCTTACATAAAGATTAATTAATTGAAAGAAGTTATTTGGTCTCTCGCCCAATGGAAATAGTTAGTATAGATCTTAAATAGATAGTAGGCTTTACCTAGAACAGGAAACAATGTTTACTATAAATAATCGACGAAATTGTTAAAATAATAAAGACCAAAAATGTTTAAAGATTGTGTTAAGCCGACACGACGAAAAGGCATGAAACACCCCTGTACAAAGTAGGACATTACGAGAATAATGGAAAAATAAGATATAACATTGGTTTAATTTTAGTATAACTATTATAAATTCTTTAGTAAAGAATGCTCTTTGATCACTTTAATTAATAACAAGCAGAAAAATATATTTTGGTTTAGAAAAAGAATTGCCAATTCTTGAAATTTAGCCTTCTACGGGAATTGTTTATTGTTTGGTTTTTGACCTGGGAAAACAACATTGAAATGATGATATTGCTTTCTTTGCATGCATCAAAAACAAAGGACTGAAAATCAAAAACGGCCTAAGACAAAACACGTTTTGTGCTAACGTGCTAATTTTGGGTCGAGTATGTTGAAACAGGAGGACCCACAGAAACGACACGATATGCGGAGAAAAGTTTTTTCTTGTTTGACCCCGAGTAAACACTTATTTAGGGCAAAGAATTTGTTTATCTGGCAATGTTTTCATTGTTGGTCGCGGAAAGGGGCCAGACGTTCATATTCGAACTTGTGAATTCTACGGATTGAAGCGATAATCTTATCAAATCCTTTTTGATTAAAGCTACAATGTAATTTTTATAGAAATTTATAGGAATTCCTACTTTTCACTCGAACATATGACAGCGTGACGTTGTTGGCATCTTTCATCACTTTTTTCTGTTTAGTTCAGATGGCTAAACATAGATGAATCAACCCTTATTTATGTTCTTTCAAAACGAATTTAGACACCTTGATTATTAAGACTTCCGTTTCAGACTCCACCAAATTTAGATTCCTCTGTACGCTTTATTTCCAATACAATATAAT